GGAGCCCAAAAAGCAAAAGTCTTCCCATACTGTGCTCAGATAATGGGAAGAACTCTGAAAAAAAAGCTCAAAATGCACGTGTTCTGGATTATGAGTTTGAGTAAATCTGTAATAAAATTCATTTTTTAATTTTTGCAAATATAAAAAGCTGAATTTGCTGAGGAAAAATTTATTCTAGATGAATTCAGGAGAATTCTACGGCTCGAAAATCTACTTTTTTCCATACATCCTGTAAAACCCCAAAATTCGAAGCTGACGGTGGAATGCCAAAATAATATTTAAAAGTAGTCTCTGATGCGATTTGCCTCCTGTGATCATTTGAATATGACTTGCAAATATTTATGAGCAACTTTTTTTCGTCTTTTTCGGATCCATACAATTTATTTGTACTGTATATGTTTTGTTTCCGCAGACGACGATGGAGTCTTTAGTGCTCCAAGTATCATGTGTCTTCTTGATGTTCCTTTTGCATTTCGGGGTCGGGTTGTCGCCGTTTTTGTTGGTGCGATGTTGTGACAAAGGTAGGCAATCGTCAGAGTTGCCATCGTGGATCAACTGCGTCACTGGAGGTGTTTTCATTGCCATGTGTTTCCTCGGCCTCATCCCGTATGCCGAGGACAAGTTTGACGAGACGGATTTTGCGTCTGTTTTGCCCATGGCGCAGATTTTCGTTGTTGCTGGAGTCTTTTTCGTGTTGCTGTTGGAATCGGCGGTTAGGCTATGGTTGTTTCGGGGTGGTGTCAAGACGCACCAGGCTTGCAAAGCGTCAAGTTTGTACATTTATTACCCGCATTTACTCAAGTAACATGCACACATTTTTTCTCTCTCAAAATTTAGAGGAAAATATTTTCACAAAAAAATTGTTTGAAGTTTAGGTGAGCGTCACAGTTGAATACTGTATAATGGAAAGTTTTTGGCAGGACCCCCTTCAAAATCAAAACAATTGAAAATTTATTGAATTCTGGTGTCTCTTATTTATTAGTTTTCAGTTACTGCAAATGAGGTGCATTTCTTACTCAGGAATAAGATTTCATCAAAATTATAGCTGTACTGTAACATTACAGTATTTTATGTAATAAGATTTTATTGTATTTCGAATGTCTTCAATTTGTAAGCTGAGTTCTAGTGAAAAAAGGGCATCAATAATAAATGGTGAATTTTGCTGTGGACTTGGTTTAATTGCAATCTACCCCAAAATGCATCAAATTTTCTTGATACTGTACAATCAAACTTCTCTTAAGTTGAATTTCATAAGACCAATACAATTTTGATTTTGAGAGGTTTTGAGTTAGGGTATTGAAAATTTTTGTTGTGGGAAAGAACAACAAATTGCAAGAAATTTTAAAAGATGTTCTGGGCCTTGACTGACTTCATTCACTCACTTCATTTGCCCAAACTTCACTCACTTCATTTGCCCAGTTAGTCTTTCACTTCCGTTCAAGACACATCAAGTTACAGTCCTTTTTTGTGGCTTTAATTTTTTTTCTGTGTCAAGAAAAAATAACCAGAAGGCCTCAGAAAATTTCAGTTGTGGAGTTTGAAGAGGAAAAGCCTTTGATGAGAGGTCTTTAATGCTTTGTTTCTGAGGAAATTCAGACATGTGCTTGAAAAAATTTGACTTACAAAGGTTCGAATTATTGAGATTCAACTGCAATCCATATCTACTAAAATAGTTTTACTGCATTGTTTGCGATTGCTTTAGCCGTGTTTCACGATGTTCTTGCAGTTGACATTTATTCTGAGGAAGCCCGAGACGCTGTTGACCCCTTGATGGAAGAAACCCCACATTCCGATGAGATGCAAGTCCACGTGCATGGAGGCGTTTCTTGGGACGACATTTTAACCAGCAACAGTCCAAATAAGGACTCCTCTGTCATTTTCCTTTTCATGGCCATTAATCTTCACGCATTTTTTGAAGGCGTGGCCCTTGGACTGCAAACTGAGCCAAAGAAACTCGTTCCTTTGTTCATTGGAATACTTGTTCACGAAATAATGACTTCGTTTGCGTTGGGCGTGTCTGTGGTCCGGAAACGATTCCCTTTCGTGACTGTGGCCAAGTATTTGTTTTCTTTCGCGGCGTCCATTCCGTTGGGCATTGGCGTCGGGATTGCCATCAGTGTGGCGCCGGGAAATGGCGGCGCGATCACGTCGGCTTGTTTGCAAGCCTTCAGTGCCGGGGTTTTGTTGCATGTGATTTTTTCTGAGATTATCCCTGCGGAGTTGTCGAAAGAAGCGTCGAATTTCGTCAAGATATTTTACTTTATGCTCGGGTTTGTGGCTTTTGGCTGTGTTGGTGGACTTTTGCATCACGTGTTAACGTGAAAAGTGTTATTTTGCTTAGTGTGGCTCAGTGCATTTTTGCACTTTTTTTGGTTGCATTTGTGAGGACGTTTTTTGTGAACTTTCTCAAAGGGGTTTGCGCATGAATGAGGAGAGAAGTCAGCATTTGGTTGGTTCTCATGGAAGAGTTCTCAGTTCGGAGTTGTGACTGCATTTGAGATATTTTCGAAGCAAGAATGGAAACGATCAATTATTAATTATTCAAGCGAATTTCTGTGTTAGAATGAATGAATATGATCAAGTCTTGTGGCTCGGAATGATCAAGAAAAACTCTTTGAGCTCATGTGAAACGCGGAGGGGTAAAAGCAAATTGTTGCTGTTAAGTATGAGTTACGAACTTGAATCAGATACTGCATTTTCAAAAAATTTCAGCATCCAGATCAATAATTAAGTAATGTGTCGCATTCTGGATATCAAATTTTGTGAAAAAGAGGAAATCTTTATTTTTTTATGCAGATGGTATCCTAACAGTTCTTGACATTTGTGGGGACATTTTGAATTTGAATACTTGGTGATATTTTTCTTCTAGTTGGCTTTTTGTTCAGTTACCAAGATACTGTATTGTATTTCCTGTTTGTTTTGTGATTTGGATGCGTTATTTTTCGAACAGAAGTAAACGAATTTTTGATTAAAATGTTTCTTCAATTTATTCATTGATAGGGTGTTCTACAAATGAAATGACTGGGGTCTTCCACGAATTACAAAGATTTCAATTACTGTATTAATGTCTCAAGTAAAATTTTAGAAGGTATGCAGCCTGAAGTTAATTTTTAGATCATTGAATGATGTCCTAAAAATAATCAAGATTCATTGACCTGTTCAATGAATCTTGATTATCTAAATAATTTATCTGGTCAATAGCTCATGACATTGGGGGTACACCATACTGTAATTCTCGTTCCAAAGAAGACTTTCAAAATGGCCCGGGAATCACAACAATGCAATCGTTGATGAGAACCAGCTTTATTCCCCTTTTTTTCTTGCAAAAGAGAAGAGGAATAAACAAAGCCTTGACACTATTCGATTAAATTTTTCGTCAGCAAAGGCAATACAATACTATTGGACGTATTGGGAACAGTGACGTGGTAAATTCTGGCATCAGATTGGGCAGGACCACCAATAACGAACACGTTACTCAAAAAAAAAAACGGGAAAATTGATGAATCAGGAGGAAAAAATCGCACACCCATAAAAAACTCAATTAAGCACCGATCAAACATCAAAAACTCTCGCAAACCACAGTTTTCATCCGAAACACAAAAAAGCCTTTGAATCCAAGTCCTTGTAAAGGAAACTAAAACAGAAGCACAGTTTTGAAGCATACCCTCTCCTCAGCACATCAGTGGAATGGAATTTTCAAGCTTCATCTTTGGCACAGTAAAAATCAGACAGAAATATCTCGCAAAATATCCCAACTAGCCAGATTGAACCCTGCACGGAATGTGGAAAAGATTGCCAAAATTTCTCAAGTCACCCTGCTGGTTTCTTTTTGCGTTTTCAACGAAATGAAGACAAAGCAAAATAGGAACGCAATTCCAGGTGGATGGAACGCAACGAGATAAACCACAAGATTTTTGCACAATAAGACTCAGAACCATTGGAAACAACCCATGAACTTCAGGAATTCGGACAACATCAACAGCTGAAAAAAGGTCTTGAAACCAACCGCGAGATCACCACAAGCTTGGATGCTGCACACGAGGGCTTGCTGAATCAAGGCATTTTCTTCAGCCGAAATTTTGCAAGGTTTTTTCTTTCTTACACCAGTGAGTTCAGATCATTAGTTCACAGTCCTTTGAAAACCATGATTATCTTGACAATCTTACACCAATGATGGAAGGACTTCCGCCCAACACAATGTGCCCTAATTTTCAACAACCAGATATTGCTTGATTTGGTCAGAAAGCAGAGAAATATTTTTCTAGCACACTAAGATGCACAATTACATGAACTTAGATACAAAAGAAAGGCCCTCTACTTTTTTCATGATTGCTTGCTTTTGCATGGAAACTTCATCTCAGGGAGAGTNAAAAAAAAAAAAAAAATCATTCACGCAACGCAACGCAACTGGTTTTGCGATTCGTGCCAAATTTTCCAGCACGAGGGAGAAAAAAACAAACAAACAAAGAAACAGGAAGGAAATTATCACAAGATCAAGCTCCAGGCACACTGACAAGGTTCTCCCCTTCTTCAGCAGCAGCAGCAGCTCCTTCAACCCTAGCCTTGCTTCTTTGAAACCCCTCGCATCCTCATGGAAAACCCCCTCAAGACACACAAAAAGCTTGACAACCTAAAAAACATACACACAACCCACTTCGGAGCCCTTTTGAGACTCCGGTATGAAAAACACAAATTTTAAAAAGCGATTATTCCTCGGAAACCTATGTAGCAACTCAATTTTGGCACCGAAAAAAAAACAAGTAACACGCGAAAACGCAAGAGGAAAGCCACAAACAATTCGTTCGCAAAAAAAAAAAAACCAGGCTCACAAAATACATCACATCAATTAATCAAGCTGATTCAGACAAAACCCTGTAAAATGAGTTCCCCATTCACTTTTTTTGTTATAAACTGGAAAGCAGACGTTTCAGAGTAAATCCATGTCAGGCCGAACCCAACCAAAAAGGTAACTGAACCTCGATCACAAAAAAAGCAAACCATTGCTGAATTTTGGGCGTCAATTTCAAATACGGGGCCAGGTCAACAGCCACTCCATGGAGGCACTTCACAAACATTCCCATTAGTGCCAAGATTTTTGCAAATTAAAAAATTTTCGAAAAGAAGCCGTTCTTTTTTTTTGAGGGGGGGTACACACAAGCAAGCATGGCACCCCTTGAGGGGGGAAAATGCCACGAAGCAGTCCCGTCCATGCAATGCCAGAATGCGGACTAAACAAGCACCATTAAGAAAATTTTGGCCTGGTACCAAATATTTCCTGAAGTTTTTACCCATCTTCCCCACAAAAAAAGCATGTAGAATATTTTGTACTCCTCCGTTGAGATTCGAAAAAAAAACAGTAGAAGACATGCACTGGTTTGACTGAAAACTAGTAGTAAAAAAAAACTGCCAAAGCGTTGCACATTATACTGTCAGTCAGAAGAATTTCTCTTTTGCACAGCTTACTTTTCTTGAAACTGAGAAAAAATCATTGCACTGTTTTCACCAAAAAGCGGGGTCCTAAAGGGACCAGTTTTGATTTCCTTACACTGAAACCCTTTTTTTCTTGAATACAACTGGGAGCATAAGAGGGGGGAATACATACAAATACAAACTCTCTCAACATGGATTCAATCATACCAGGGCCATTCTACAATATGTCGACCAAGGGGTTTCTCAAAAGTCTCGCAAATCACCCACAAACCATCATTTCAGTCGGATGAAACATGATCAGTCCCTTTCCAGCAATCCATCAATTTCTTGAAAAACCCCATTCCACAGAGAAGAACAAAGAAACAGATGAATTTAATTTTTTTCTGCGCGCTCATTATTTCAAGATTTCGCTGGAAATCTGCAAGTTTAGAAAATTAAAATTCTCGAACATAGAATTATCTTTTTAGCCTGCAGCTCAGTTGCTTTGCAAACTTCCAATTAGAATTAATTACTGTATTGTACTCGAATCCCACACAACCCCAAGTAAGAATCAAGCCCAGATTTTTTCTTTGTCAAAAAATGCAATATTTCAAAAACTTCCTTGAATAAGAATACCAACTTAGGCACAATTCGACATGAGTTGGATTACTTTCAACTTCTTCTTGCTTCATATTTTCAACCGTCTCATTTTCGCGAGTAATATAATAAGGCATTGAAAAAGTTACTAGAAATACTGATAATCTTGTTGAAGCGCAGTGCACTTCTCTGTCCAAATTTAAAAAAATATTGCACTCAAAAGTAACCCAAGTGCGCGCACACTGCAACTAAATATATAATTATCAAATGCACGTGAAGCAATTTCGAGTGTACTTCATGAAGACGGCAGAAATCCCACAGAAAGAAAACTGAGGCATTAACATTTCAATTCTTGATGCTCCTCGCACTTCAAAATAAAAAGTTCAACTTATATTTGACTGTGAATCACCTTAATATTCTTTAAAAAAGACGTAAATTTCCTTCTACCACCAATCAACAGAGGATCGGTGAAAATTGATGATAACGTTCAACCCTCCTTCATCGAAAAAAAAAAAACACACGTCGGAGACTCACAGGACTTTTGAGAAACCCCACGCACTAAAATTGATAAATTTGTAAGAAGAAAAACACCGACTTGTTCACAGAAAAAAATCAGGCACAGCAGGACTTTTGGGTAATCAGGCACAACCCATAGAAACACA